AACCTGGTAGTTGTGTAAAAGCCATTTTACTAAGGCCTGAGAAGGAGAGTGCAATTTTAGGTTAAATTCAGATCAAAAGGCTTTCAGAGAAGCGACTTCTTTTTATGTTACCCAGCTAAGCTGACTTTGTTTACTTTGTCTTCATTTATTTCACGTGGAGTGTTTAAATTTGTTGCTTCTGAATTAACATTGTCTTTCATTTATATATATTGCTTGAAATTAATCCTATTTAATTGTTGTTGGATGACAACAAAGCTTTAAGAGGAGTTTATTTTCTTACAGAAAGAGAAGCAAGAGCAACAGTTTAGAAATAACTGGTGAAACATACTTTGGGATATCAGTAAGGACCTTGATGTTTTCCATATAGGCCATAAGATCATCTCTGCTGCAGAACTGGGTCATGATCAGGACTGGAAAATGGAGACACTTGTCTCCATAAACAAAGGCTTATTCTGCTAAAAAAAAAAAATAAATTAAAAACCCCCAAACTGTTGAAACAGGATGTAAGGAATATCTGCAAATCAAGTGAGAGTTTGCTGCATGAAAAATCCCATCAGGCCACAGCAGGGTAATTTCTGACCACATTGTAGTCTTTACTGCTTTTATCACCATCAGTTCTTCTATCTCATCAATCACTATTAATATGGGGAAGAATGAAGAAGTTACGTTACTTCCAGCAGCCATCCGTGAATACTGTGGCAGTACAGAGAAGTGCACACACAGTTCACAAGAGTTGGGTGGGTGCTGCAGCTGTTGCACCTTCCAGCTTCTCTCTGAGAAAAGCAGAAGGAAAAATTTGTGTCTCCACTTCAGCACTCTAAGTGAGAGAAAGCAGGCAACATATATACATCAGGGTTTTACTTACACATACCATTCACTAGATAATATTTTGCACTTGGGTTATCTCTCCTGAGAAAAATCCTGCTTGTTGCTGGGCTTTTTGCCCTGGAATGCCATTTTTACTTAATTACTGGTGCCAATAGACAAGGGATTAGTGCAAGTGGCAGGCAGGCTCCATGGCTCAGGATTTCTGAGCTCAAGGCAGGCAGCAAGAATCAGCTTAAACAGTGTTTTCATTGACTGAACTGCATACAAGTGATGAAAGTTACATAAATTATGTTCTCTTCTGTAAGAGGGACAGATGAGTGACTTATAAGAAGCAACCACAGAGCTTAAGCAGGAATATCCATTCCCACATGCTTTCCTAAAAGAAGTTGACATCCCAGCTGGGGGTACAGATTTGAGTAGATGGAGCTGACTTTCAAGCCTAATCTGAAAAAAATGGCAAAAGAGCTTCCTTGTTGGCTACTTTTTGAAATCTGTTTTCAGTCAATATTTCTCCTGATAAAACATATTTCTTTTTTTTCCCCTTTAGCCAATTATTTCTGATATATTATTGTCATAGAGCTGAATCATAGAATGGTTTGGGATGGAAGGAACCTTGAAGATCATCTACTTCCAATCCCTCTGCCATGAGCAGGAACACCTTCCACTAGACCGTGTTGCTCAGAGCCCCATCCAACCAGACCTTGAACACTTTTAGGGAAGGGGCATCCGCAACTTCTCTGGGCAACCTGTTCCAGTGTCCAGAAACCTATCTGTATAGAAATTCAAGGGTTTTTCCAGGATTTTTTTTTTCCTCCACGTTTGTATTTAAACCCTGGAATTAATTCAGATATTTACAGTTTGTGCTAACCTTTTTCAAAACCTGACATGTTTTTTTAAATGCAAAGTGAGATTATAAATTCTCATTAGATATTATATTTGTGGCTGCATTTTCTTGTTTCTTGCAGAAAAAAACACAAGTGAGCAAGCTTGTTCATTTTCTAACAAGTGCACTATGGGTATCAACAACTTTTTTCCTTCCTTTTTCTGCTAAAACAATGCAAATAAGTGGGTGCTTTATGATGAACAATAGTTTGCATTGGTTGTTGGAGTTCAATTGTTTTTTCTCAGCAGAGTTTGGAAGGAAAGCTGTGGCCAGCTCATAACTGACTTGCTGCAGTAATTGATTCATATCCCTTGTCCTTCAAGGGAAAG